GGATATCCCGTGACCGGATGAGTGATGTAGTCCAAACTACCAACAAGCCTTGGCGGGCGATATCTTTAAATGAGCACTGTCACGCTTCCTCCTGATCTTTCCAGGATATTCATTGACTAACAATGCCTCCATAATTTTCGGAGTTACCTTCATCCTGTATCGAATGCAGGGGCGGAGATTATACATCAGACCATAAAATGCTTGCGTGCTTCACCAGTAATATGCACCGTTACACACTCTGCCCCTCAAAAGATCGCATGCACGCTACTGATATTCATTCTCAGCAGCTGGATTACCTGACATCCCCTCGGTTGTATCATGCCGCTTGCTTGCTCCCTGTGGGGTACGACCTTGCCCTACTATCTAACGTTTTCCGCCTAATCCTTTCCTGGACAGCGGGCAAGTTTTCTCGAGCCCTCCTCCTTTCCTCCCATAGCTTTTCCGGAGACTTATATGTCGTTAGCCAAAACCCAGCCTCCTGAGTGATTGAAAAACGTACATTAATATGAATGAGGACTTGTCTTTGATCGGCCAGGTTTGCGCAAGTCGTGCTAACAACACACCAGCCAGACACCTCCTTTGGCTGCCAGACATCCTCAGTCGTTTGGTTATTATGTTTGGCTAGTCTGTTTGTTTGCGGGTAGTAGGATGCCGTCGAAAGCAGTCTGACGCCCAGCTTCTGCAAGCTGCTCCAAAACTCTTCACTGTCACAGAAAGCCCCCTGATCCATCAGGATCATTTTTAGTACCCCGTGGTTGGCTGCGATGTGGTGTATTACCACCTCATTGATCGTCGTGGCCCCTTGCTTTCGTACGGCTGCAGCCTCGACCTATCACGACAGGTCTTCTGTCATTATTACAACATTCATTTTCACTGGCTGTCGCCGAAATGAGGCTCACTATATCAACGGACCATAAATCGCCGGTTTCTGATACAGGGATTGGTTCCGTGCGGTGAGTTGTCCCTGTCGTATCCTCTTCCATCAGTTAGCGCCACTTAAGGGACACAAAATAGTCCATTGCCTAACATCTCATCCCTGCCCAGTAAGCAATCTGAATAAGTAAGTGGTATCCTCTGGTGCACCGTACGTGCACCATAACCGGCACCCAAAAGGCAATACGGGCGACATAACGTCAGAATCGGTGACGTTCTAGAATATTACACCAGCTTTAAACAGGTCTGGCCCATCAAAATGTTACTGGAACTTCTCCATTCCCCTGCCTTCCTCTCAGTTTTCAATACTTGTCCCGTTCAACAAAGGGGCTGAAACCTTTTGTAAAGCGTGCTCATGCCGCCGTAGTTGCACCAACCTTCCGGGATCCGGTTCGACGATAATGTTCCTGGAGCCGGCCGGGATTTTGGGGACTTAGCTTTAGCCTCTGGTTTTGACAGCCAACCAGACACGTGGTTATCATTCCTTGGCACTTCCTGGACCCCAAACTTATCGGAGCGCTCAGCGACAGAAGTTTCTGCGAGGATCTCCGGTGAACCTAATCCGATCGACGGTTTTGTGATTGATCTCAAAGTGAAATCTTTGGCCCAGCAAGCATAGCTATCATTTAACTAGAGCCCAGACGATCCATGAACATTCTCTCCTAATAGTTGAGTACTTCTATTCAGCAAAACCGGGGCACGACAGGCATCTTTGATAGTCTCATTCCTCTGCTTTGGGATTGCTCAACACTAGTCAGTAGCGTCCACTACAACGGTGAACATCTCCCCAGACCTATGCAGTCGGGGGGTCAGTTGCCGATCCAACACGTTCTGAGGTCTTATGTGCTTTCCTCTTCCATTCGAAATCATGATTTTGCTAAGGCAAGTCGCATAGTAAGGAGACGGTTGTGCGGATATCCTTGTCAAACCGTCTGTAGTACGCTGATCATCCGAGGAACTGACTTAAGGACCGTTTTGATTTAGGGGCTGCAGAGTTTTGTTTCTTCGCCAGTTTTCCGGAAGCAAGTGAATCTTCCCTTGACCCTCTTTATGCGCGAGCGATATCATCGACCTTTGAACGAGCTGTAGCTTAGATTCATTTATCGGCGATCCAGTCTTCCAGATAGGCTTCAATACATCCTCTAATTATTCTGTTTTCGAACATGCCAACTGAGGCGTTGTCGGGTCATTACAACCCGAACGCGGTAGACGTCAACACAACGGAAAGGAAGGTACAAGAAACGTGACACGCTTATTACGGGAAACTTCACCGCAGTTGTGGTAACCAAAAATCTTGGACATTGGGGCATGAGGAGCAACACGCTCAACAACCCGAAAAATCTTTGCTGGCTTCAGTGAATATGGGTCGTTGAGTAAATCACCAGGGTCGCAAATAACAAAAATGGAGATGAAGATGGAAGAATACGAAGTGAAGACATTTGATTCAAAAATATGGTTTACAATGGAACTATTTAAACTCACTGGTGTTGCTGTTTAGGAGAAGTCAGTTGCAATGGATATTTTCGATGGAAAGGTAGTGCTGATGATTGGAGCCGAAGGGACACCGCAAGTATTCCTTGTATTCTCGCCTCATCTATCTCTACGACAGCACGCATCGTAGACTGCACCGATCGCAACCCACAAAGAAAAGAGAATTATTCTAAAAAGCCATTATTTACTGGTGATCACGTACGGCGGCATCGATACTTCTAGTGGCCAGACATACCGCAGCATCATAACGGGTCGCTTCAGCATGCCTACACGATTCAGTCTTCACGGCCACAATCTGTGCGACTAGTTTGTCCGCTTTGGTCTGCAGGCCACTGGCGAATCCTCACCTTCTTTGATCCGGGGGGCTTCGGTCAAGTCTTGTGTCAGGTGCACCAAACATGCACCAGGTATCGGCCACACATTTGACGGAACGGTCAGGCAGACACCGCTGGTATGACACTCCGTCCAGTTCCGGCAAGGCACGATCCATCCGCTGCTATAGATTGGCAAAGAAAACCGGCGGGGCGCATTTCGGTCCAATTCTGACAGCACTGAAACGCCTTATAGCCTACTGGAGCTCCGTCTCCGTGTGTAACTTCACTGCAAACGCCCCCTTCGCTGCTGCCCCGACCATGGTTCTGTAGGGGTCACTCATCAGATCATGCGTAAGAAACCACATGACAATTGCTGTCCAACTTGCAACCTCAGTCAACAGCATGTACACTGCAACTTCCCATCCATTTTTTGTTTACGTGGCTACCATTGCGTGATACGCCAGGATTATAAACTCCATTCAACCACATCAGGTCAAATTGTAATCATGTTCGTGCAAGCATCAAACACGAAGAGACACCCTTCCCTCCACATTGCATACAATAAATAGGCATGCAACCCTGCGCAACACACTCGCGCGCGCGCAGACCGCAGGAAGTCAACCACTTTCTACAAGTCCAAGGACAACCATGGAATACGTGCAGCAGCGAAACTGCGGAGAAAACCCGTTCCCGCCGTCCGGACTTTCACCAAGGAACACTCACGGGCGATGAGTTCCTCCTTTGACTTGCCGCCGTTTTGCATTGCATTTGTTTTTATGTGTGTGGCATCTCACCGTTGTCAACTATACCAAAAACCTTTACTATTGAACATACCTCCTGATTTGTGTTATGGCCATCATCAACGGTTCACTAATAGTTTATTCTTTTCGCATGCACGGTCGCTTTCAGTCGGCCTCTGAGGAGGGTCTCCAGTGCCGATAAACTACTCAGATAGGACTCAGGTTCAGCCACATCCGCAACGTTCTCTATATCCTTCAGGTAGGTTCTCATATTCTCACTCTCAAGGATTTGCGGTCGCGGGATCCACATCCGCATACCGGTGACGGCATCAAGTGAAATGTGGAGAGCCCGCGACCGCAAAGTCATTTATTACAAAACACGGACTAAAATACGATTATAAGGTATAAAAGTAAGCATGGCATATGCATTTAGTCTTCAAAAACTTAACTTTCGCACGCCTCTTGTTGAAATTTCCCGAATATCCATTAGCTAATACACAATGATAACCAAGAATGTAAAGCGCTTCAACAATTTCCGCGGCGAACTTCACGATTTACCGGATGCAACCACATACTTCTCGAGTAGCTCATCAGAGGAACTCGATTCGTGCACAAGCCAAACTGAATCAAATGATTGGCTGGTCCGAGTCAAATGATCGATACCAAAAGATAGAGCCTCTAAATACGTGGCCCAGCTGCATAGAAAAGGTTTGCACCAATGGCCGGTCGTGCATCGGTGGCTGAGCGGGGTAAGCTTGGGAACGGATCCGGTCGTTCGCCGTTCAAGTTCGGGTGGCGTCATCCGACTTCTTTTCGACTCTCTCGGTTAACAAGTTACTTCATAGGATGCTACTGCCTTTGCTGAGTCATATGTAGCATAAAAATGATGAGTTAATATGAAAGCAACTTAATGTTCCGAGCGCGAAGTCATAAATATGTATATATATCCAAGAACATTGTTAAGTTTGAGTCGAGATTTCCGAAAACACAAATGTCGAGTTCTTTCCAAGCCTCAATTGAAAGAAGTGATGTTGGTAGCAGAAAAAAGTTGGGTGAAGAAAGGCAGGTCGATGGATACATTATGGTACGTTGATACGTTCTGTGACGTTAAGATTCCTCATTTAACGAACGTCTTATTGCACATATTTCACGCAGTGAAGCAGAGGTTTTACGGCTCTCTGCATTTTGAGCTTGAGTCGCGCGTGCCAATCCACAAAAACGACCAAGGAATCCGATTTTTGGAATCGCGGTACTATTGCAAAGATAAAAATATACACAATCAACAAACCTCAACGGATTCTCCTCTGCAGATGCCTTAGGGTTACAAAATAAGGCGGTACATTCACCAGCCTGAGGATAAAGTGCAGATCAATTCGCCTCAAAATCGATATCGTCACAACGAAACAGATATCGACGGCGGGCAACCGCAGCAATCACAATGTCCGGCCAAAGTCCGTAAGAGTTATAAAAAAGGTTCAGTAAAAGCGGGAGGTTCCAGTTCACCTGATCAAGGGGAATAAATATGGAGATTGGCTGCTACATGTGGTTGGGAGAGGGAGCACATTGTTGGTAAGCTGTTCTCTACAGAGGTCCCCTGCAATAAATTATTAAAATTGTTTCATGCTATTTTCTCGCTTGCATTGACAGTCCATCCCTCCTTGTTTTGTGCGCTCCAGCGGTTTAACTCGTTTTTTCTTGGTTTGTGCACAAATACAATTTGAACACGCGCGTTTCCTGGCTTGTGCACTTTTAACCAATCAGAACGCTGGCTTATGCATGAATCGCATGTCCTCATCAGTAGTACCCATCGGTGCACCATTCCGCGTATTTTGGGATTATATCGTCAAGGTCAATTCCATGTCCAAGCCCAGAAGAATATTTCGACCTAAAGCGATGAGGATTTAATCTCCCAGGTGGAAAAATTTTCGCATTAATAAGGTGAATCCTTCCATTAAAATCAGCATGGCACGTTCTGCCTGATATGTATGAAGAAAGATCGCACTGTATAATTTTAGTTTTCAGAAATTCGGGATGGGACCACTTACTCACTATCGACGACGCGTTACTGTGCTTACTGTGCTGCTACTCGATATCTTTCTATATGCCTCTGTGAACCGCCCTTCTGATCTCTCTCTCCTCATGAAGCATGAAAACAAAGATTTCCAGACGCCTTCCATGATCAATGGATTTGACGCTTGAAAACATATTTGTACTAACTGGTTGTACGCGCACAGTAATACTTATGATCCTCCTGTATTCCGGGAGGACAACTTGGCTACATTGACCAAGAGGTGGTCTGACATAGGCTACACAGAGTATTTGGAAGCCCATGCGGATAACACGGGTTGAACGTGAACCCAATCATACCAGGAACGCAAGTTCATTGCGATCTGATTTCCTGTGGTGGAGTAAAAAGTACGAGCCCGATGAGTGTATGATGCCCGACTCATAGCATCTAGCTTCGTACTACCTTCCGGGCCATTTCCGTCATGCGTGACACACGTGTCCGTCGGATTTCACTTGGAGGTCGTTGGTTTCATGACGGTCGAAAAATTGTTATATATTGTTCCTGATGAGTTTAGGGTGAGCTTTTTAGATGAGGCAAATAACATGTTTTCTGTCACAATCATAGTTCGGATCACGAATGGAGATATTCTATGTATATAGCGCAACAGATGGGAGTCTTATCTTATTGGCGAAAGTGCTTTGGGAAACACTGCTAAGCTAGATGTAAAGTAATCGAGAATATTTCGGATTCGGAAGTACTTACCACTTAAATGAGGTTTCAGCGTGGATAACGAAATGTTGTAGAAAATTGTGTAGACATAGCAACTGAGGTTTAATACAGAAACACACGTAAGGTGCGATCTCTTATGTTTGGCCATTAACTATCACTGCATTCACTGGCCATTCCTCTTGAATGTAGCGCCAAATCTTAGTGAAAGCGGAAGCCCTCTGAAATACTATTCTGATAAAAATTTACCATCATGTAACTGATGGCACGATAAAGTGGCACGTGCGACGAATTCACGCAAAATGCACTTGAGCCCAGTTGGAGCAGAAGACTAGTAGTGACGGCCGCGTCAGAAGCAATGCAGAGGTTAAGAAAATAGTGGCTGGGAGCACCGAGATGTTGTACTGGACAACATGCTTGAAGACTCTCCGAGAGCTCGGGTTATGTGCTCAAGTAGGTACCTGACTAGATTGTCAAAAGTTCGCGTAGTGGATAAGAATGTGCATGCGAAGCCGGATAAGTGGGGCCAGCAACTACGGGGTACGCAAATGCTCATTAGGGTTGGAAAACAGGAGACTAACGATAGGTAATTAGAACGGAGATATGATGAATAGGCATAAAGTGCTCAATTCAAATGAAACAATGATCATTGACTTTCTCTGATTTACAATAAGAATCTGCAGCGTTGTTCCTGATACCATTGATATGTTTCTTCATTTTCTTGAACAGCGACTTATGGCGTGTCGCATTTAGGGGTCAAGTGAAGGTTCTTTGGAACGCTGTTTACTTCATGTCGTTCTATAACAAACCACAGTACAACACCAAAAAGCCAGTGATTAGCTGGTTTGAGGAGTTAAATAAGGGACAAAAGTAGACATAACACACGTTTATTCTTGGCAAAAACAAAGGGCGGTGCGTACATCACACAATTGAAAATTATCCATCTACAGGCAAATGGAGAGAATATGCAGAAAAATGGAGTATTTCCCTAGACGCAGTGATCATATTACAAAACAGCATATTTCACTTCCTTCCGGCGGTAGCGCACTAACAACACTGAATTAGAAAATCGCGGAGGCTATGGCGTCATATTTCTCTTCTGGTGCACGGCGATGTATCCCTCAAGTTCCCCATCGCTTTGCAGCCCAGATAGATTTGCACGCCGCCTGACTTCCTAAAAAAACTTATGAAGTAAAACCAGATTTATCCGGGTCATAAAATCAGCGATATAGCGACCTTATAATAATCCGTGAAATCGTGTTATAGTCTGACATGCATTGAAGGCAGCAATGGGTTCTACACTTGATTGCTCAGTCAAGAGACGGTCTCACGACAGGACATGTGCTGAGCCGGCAGCGCCTCCGTGAATAGCGTATCCAGTCAGAGCGACCGGCTCTGTCAACTGCAGTGGTCTGGCTACGCAGTAAGTTAGTTTACCAGGAGTGTGTGGCAAAAAAAATAAAAATGATTACGCTAGGTTGAGTATACAAAAATAAAGAGACCAGACGGAACAGACTCACTAACAATTGTTCTCTTTAAAATAGTTCGTCGTTGGCCCAGGTCAGCGAATAAACAATAATCCAATTATGTTGGTCCAGAGGTCTTCTTCTGAACAGTTCCCGCATATAATAGATTCTGAAGATGTCTGAAATGTTTTGGTGCAAGAGTTAGTACATGAGACTCGCGAATGACCGCTGCAAGCGCGAGCGAAATCAGAAGAGAGGGTCGAAGCACGTGACCACGCTTGTATTCTGTGAAATTGTACAAGTGCGCGTTTTTGTAGTTTTTCGTATTCAAACAAAAAACGATTATGCAATTGATGAAATACGTAGTGTTATAATGGAAGTAAAATAAAGGTACAAAACGCCACACAACTAAGTACACCAGAACCAACCTCTCATATATTCGAGACTAGGAAAAAAGACTCCTAGCCGAGCAGAAATCGATACGACTGTGCAATAAAGTTCATCCTCACACCTACAGAATATCGGCTTTACTCTCTAAAGGTGTCACCAGATCTCTCTTGTGTTTCCTAGCACCCCTTGTATTCAGTGAGGCCTACTGATCTGTGGAGTTGTTTGAACGGTCAACTCTCTTGTCTGTACTCACGCCTTCATTAAGTCCCGGCAAACCAAAATCGCTTTGAGATGATGGGTTGTGTCCAATGCTTGCGGATTTTATTAGTTGTGTTCAACTTTCTCGTTGTGGTAAGTGTAGCTTTCACATGGCTACAGAAATTGTACTTCTAAAAAAGCAATTTTACGGTGTGTCTATCCGAATGTAAATGAATATACGATGCAATTTTGTCCAGCACCATATTGCAACTGTGTTCAGTACTGACCTTGTAACTGTCTACAAAGATGTGAACGTACCATACCGCTTACAAAACTATCTTTCACGCTCATATTCGATCGAGACTTCAGAAGTAGCTATTAGTGTTCTCTTTTGTTAGCAACGGAAACCACTTGGTAAATCAGAAGGCGAGAAAGAGACACTAATAAAACCGTTTTTTAGGGCGTGAGGTTACAACAACTAGGTGCACCGCAGTCAAATACAATACAATACCAAAAACAGAACGGTTCAAACGAAAGACTTATCGTTCTGAGTGTGAATTGCAGTAGTTCCACCGAGTTCGTTTGGGTGCAGGTAGTCGTGTTTCTTTTGGCAGATTCCTTGCTACACGATTCTGGTTGTCCGCAGTTTTTGGTGCGGTCCGACGCGCGAGTGATGCGTGTGTGAGTGTTTGATTGTGTTCTGTTCCTGTATATAGGTCGTTGCAATGAATGGGACATGAAAACAATGTGAAATCACCTGGTGTCGTTCGAAAGGTCATGGAACGGGATTTGACTTTTGGCGTATTCATGTCACGATTTTGACGCGTGATTGTGAGACAGACGAAATGGAATGGGGGTAGTAGGTGCCGGTGGGAAATTGATTAGAGGAGTAATTAAGCAGAAGGGTAAGCGTTACAAATACTCCCATTTTAGAGAGGCGCTGTCATCAATCCAGACAAGTCACGTCTTATCTGGTGATGCAAGTTGTGGTATGTGGAACAAAACAAAGCACGCGGGAGACAGTGGATGCGGATGCACTAATCAGATTGGGTAACCGCTACATAGCGCAATGAAGTAGTATTGTTGCCGTCGGGTAAATGGTCTCCACAGTTTATTAATCGCAAACGCTTTGGTAGGTCACATTAAAGAGACGGTTTGACATCTTTCGGTCGCTTGATTTAATATGTATCACGCAGCATCTGTGTGGCTGAACACCTGAAATGTTCTGCTTGTTTGCTTGGTGTATTTGGGAAGGCAACTGAGTTGGTCGTTTACAAATGGGTCTGAACTTACCAATTAGCAGCCATTATGGCTGAAAACCACTAATCAATCTCAAGTCCATTTTTGTGTCCCCCACATGATTGTACGTTGATCTTCGGTTCTACACAAACTACTATGCCATTATCTTTGAATATCTTCATTTTTTCTGGGATGTCTTTACAGATGGCTGTCATTTCTAGCCAGGAGCGCTAGTAGGGTGTGGGGTACTGTAAATGTTAGCCGCCAAATACGTGTTTCTTGGTATCCGGTGTTAGAAAACAGTCGTGAAACGATCCTTTTGGTAATCAGAAGTGTTCGACATGTTTGTTTTTGGATGGCTTTACAACAAGAAAGTTGGACTGTAGAGTGACTGCCACCAGGTCGTGCATCTATGTGAACCCGTGACACTGTGAAGTGCACGCGTGATACTCAGGGCCTTCCATACCAGATTGGGTGTACTCGATGAGTGGAGGTCTGACTAAAATTCTCCTGCCCCCAGGTTAAGGTTTGAAATATGTGTCTACTTGCTCCTTAAACTAAAGACTGCTATAAAGGTCTTATGCCAACCACTGCTGCTTTGCGGTTAGACTTTCGGGTTAAAGGTTTTGATTTACGACCGAAGTCGTCCTGTCCAGGTCTAGAGACATTATCAGACATGGCCCAATCGCGCCCTCAATTGCGCTCGTGCATCAAAGCTATTGCCTTCAATGCATAGCTCCTTTTCCAACCCATCCCACTTGACAGCCCACTGACAGTGCTGGATTTATGCACCAATTTACCAGCTCGCGCGTGCAATGCGCAGCTACCCCCCAACCAACTCATCGGCGAACGAAACTGCGGCAGCTACAACCACTGTACGACGAGTACGCGGTTCTTACAGCTGATGATGATGACGTCCTGTCCAGGCCGGGGCAATACCCAGGGCCGTGTACAACCGTGATATTCGCAGTTAACAATAATCTCGCCACAACCGTCGCGCGGTGCCACCAGCCGGGTCGCCTTACTTGCTGCTTACATCAGGGCGGGTAAGCAAAAGTAAGCTTCTGGTAGCGTCTTCCTTCTTTCTCTTTCACATGCTTTCTCTTCACCCATCCCAACCACAATAATGACCTTCCTTATAGGCACATCCGTTAGAAATGACAACCCTGTTAGTTTGTCCGGAATCTTTGCGCGCCAGTTAGCGCTGACTGCCTCGGACATCTCGAAGTCTCCTCGTTCAGCCCACCTGGCTGATTTTAATGTTCGCGCTCTGAAGGAGGCAGGACAACAAGTTGTTCTTGCTCTTAAACTAGACTCGCTTGATGCTGATGTGTGTGCGGCTATACTTGGCGTCAATATGGTGGGTCTTTGGTTGAATGGTTGTCTGTTAAGAGTTGCATCTGTGCGGTTAATTCGGCAACATCTGTGAGATTATCCAATAAAGATACTGATAGTCGCTGCCTGTTTGTTTGATCTACGTAGATCTACATGGCCACAGAAGATTGTACCTTCCATACACTTCAAAACAGTTCTTACGAAGCCCTAGACATCTTATTGTGGGGTCCAGATAGCTCAGTTGTTAAGGCCCGAACTTACTAACCGGCTGGTCTGTGGTTCTCACTCGACCTCTTCATCTCAACTGCTAAGCTTGGACAACCTGGCAGCACCTCAGCCGTTGTACCTCCTTCGGATAACATGCCAGTGATGCACCTAAAGAGGGCTTAGTTGAACGATTCATTATTTATTGTGGTGGACTAAGAGCTCATATAATATTGTGATTACCAGAGACATGAATGCGCAACTGGGCGCAATGAGGTTCAATTGGTTAGTCCTCTTGGACTGAAATCGAGACTGGCTATTGAGAAGCTTTCAGACCCTGGTGTCAAAATAACTACATGAGCCACCTACTGTAGTCCTTTTGGAAAAACTCGCTTTCTGATTTTGTCTTACTGGAAGTGTGGGCGAGATGGCTCAGTGGTTAGAACGTGAATTCACTGAACGGAAGGTCCGTGGTTCAAACCCGACTTCCGCGCCTCTCGACTTTGGTAACCTAGCAGTATCCCGTCTCTGGTGCTTCTTTTGGGTGGCGTGGCGGCTAGGCACCGAAGGGTGTTACAGCTAAACGACTAGTCGCACTGGAAGTTACTGTCCGTAAACTTACAAGATGCTACGCGTTCCGCTTGTCGAATGGTTCAACCAACTAGATCCAAGCGCTGGATCTTGAACAACATGCTTAGGTCACTGGAAGCTTGGACACGTATTTCTTCCAGTCGAGAGTACAAAACCGCTAGCGAACTGTTAGACTTTAGGTGAAAAGTAGTGCCTGCGCGGATCGAGGACCTTGGTTGATCCAGAAAGTCGAAGAGTTGGAGGAGGCGAAAAACTGGTAATGTGCGTAAACTGTCCCAGCTGACGCGCAATGGTGAACGGAACAGTCACTGGTAACACTACCTTGCTTATCTTAAAAAACAACAACTCATAAACACTTTCACAGCTGCATAAAGTTACTTAGCTGGATTCGCAACCATCAAAGGAGCCACCGACAATGAACTCGGAACACCCGATGGCTTCGGGAATAAGCGAATTCTCTTTATACTTCACGCATCATCCACCTGCTTGTCCTGACGAAATCCCACTCGCTCCGTTTAAAGGCGAAAATGAAATCTATAGTCGGTGCTTACCTTACTTATTCGCCTCTATTTAACGAAACAAGCCCTCCCAACCAACTTGGCTGAGTCATTAATTGTGCCTGTTTTCAAAACCGGTGCTCGATGTGAGCTTGGCCATCGCAGAGAAATTAGCTTGACTTGCTTTGTAACTAGATTCTTCACGTCGTTCGTTCTATATCGTCTTATGGAGGCGCGTAAAAACGTGACCCGAGAACAGCAAGCAGAATTCCGGTCGGGATGTGACTGTGTAGACCGCATCTTCACACTCCGTCATGCGGCATGCTTATCAGTGTCCTACAATCACTGTGGTCCTTGACGTCAACAGTGCTTTCAGTTCTGTCGATCGTTGGTTATCTTTAATACACTTGTGCAACAGGGTTTGTCCTAGAATTCCGAGAATATCATACACATAATTGTGGGTGCGTAAGAGTGTGTAGGAAGTTCTCCAACAGCTTTTCTACAAACAGTGATGCCCGGATGTTTACCATCTCTATTTTTGTTTAGTTTCGTTATTGTTGAGATGGTTGGGTGGAAATTAGAAATCCCCGCGTTTAGATCTCTCCGAGCAAGCAGTTTGTCAACCTAGAGTATGCAGACGTCATTGTTCTCGTTTCGGGAGAATAATAATGAGCACAAGCATTACTGGAGAAGTTGGCCAAGGTTATCCAGTCCTTTGACATATCCTTTGGGTCCACAAGGTGCAAAGTCAAGTTCCAGGACGTGTAGTCTTTGAACATGTTTATGAGAATTCAAGTAGTGATACTAAGAATTTTGGAGCACTGTACGTACCTCGGAAGTTGAATTTCCCCTACTGTATTGTGACTAGCGAATTGAACGCACGGGTCTCGAAGACCAGCTTTGCGTTTTCCAAATTGCGCCACTTGTGGCGCCAAAAAAGGATTTCACTGAGTCTCAAAGGACGCGTATATCAGACTACAAAGCAAGTCGTTTTGTTATTCCTTTGAGACCGGGTCATTACGGGTAAAGGATTTGAGACATCTTCCGGTTATTGACCACATATCACAGAACCAGTGAATTCGCGAAAGGGCAATTAGGAGACGGCTTCCCGTGATGCTTCCCGAAAAATGCATCAAGCGCTACAAGCCAAAGTAGCTGGACCATGTAATACCCATGCTGAATTTCTACTTGTCGATTAGGAGGGCTAAGTTGCGGGGTGGAAGTGGTTGAAATCTATCCAATGCATGATTATTGCAACAATCTAGGGTTGTGAATAATGTTTCACCTGTTGACTGAGCAGGTGATCTCGCTAAGTACTGACTTTGCTTGAATAGCAGCTAGCTCTCATTATGAATCAAGGAGTTTAGGGGAGCAGGAAGCAAAGTCGTTTGCTATGAGTGTAGCACGGTCAGTATCGGTAACGTGTTATTACACATTGCAGTTAATAATAGCCAATAGATTATCCCTTTCTTCGGTGTACGTACGTAGAAAATTTTAATAGAAGCATGGTTTCATTTGGCACGTTATATCCTCTTCGACACCCGTCGTGGCCTTGTTCCTGGAAGCCTAAATGCTGGCACAACTGTCATTCGAAGGCCTCGAATTCTTGCAACAGCCATTTATGTTTTTCAAGGACGTCGTTTAGGTGTTTATCACGGCTGTATTAGCCATTTTAGTCGACACGTACTTTTCATGTACTTATTTTAAGCTCGAGACCGCTCGGTGGTTTAGGTGCGAACGTACAGACCGGGAACTCCGTGGTTCGAACCCAACCTCTGCATCTAGACTGTTCGTGTCTAAGTCCGAGTAGCCTGGTAGTATCTCATGCTTCCTTCGGGTGGCATGGCAGCTGTGCACCTGAAGGGTGTTACAGCTGTACGTTTTTATTTTACTTATTTTGGGTTTCCACATACCGCATCAGTTCGGTCCTTGTTTGGTCAACCCTTCTGGCTCACATCCCTTCTCTGAGGCTTTGGGCTGTGGCTCCAGCCCGTGTCTTGGTTGGCAGATATGTAGGAGTGCCTTTACGATTACTGGTTCTAATGAACGGGCGCGTCCGAACACATTCCCAGAGTTTCTGGGGAACATCGGGTTTGAGCAGCTGCTTGTTATTTCTCCAGGTAGTCCACAGCACAGTATTGTGTGGAAAGAGACAGCTTCTTCTGGATCACATATATATTTTTTAAGTTACCCAATTGGAACTTGAAGTTACCATCAGAATATAGGTATGTCGGGAAGATAACATAATTACCTAAATTTGCATCCTTCTCAGATCCACTTGAAGGGATCCCACTTGTGGCTGGCGATTTTCACAACCTTGTGTGGGCGATTTTGCTGCCTAATGTGGATCCATTTTCTGTTGTTAACTTCAGCAGCATTTGTAGTAGATGAAATAACATTAATTAGTCAACTATCCGTTGTAGCGACGTTTTGGTTATTCCCAATAGATTTGGTTGGTATGCACGTAAATATTTTTGTTTTATCCAGTTTTTTGCAAAATGCCAGCATGCTGATGACGTCACCGCTTTTGGTAGTAATAATTTTACCCATAGATAGATCTGTTTTTCAGATTTTCCACACACTGCTGACAGCAGCTTGTATTTTGGTAAAAATCACTTCAACCTATCCGTAATTACTGGTGGGTTCTACGTATTCCCAGCGCCTGCTTGCTTTGGCAGGGAGATTTAGCACCCACCGAAAAGGTCATGGTCACTATTATCACCAGAGACAGAATAATCGGTGTTGACACTGATGCTCCTCTTTTTAGTTATATCTGCGGTCCTGAAACGAGGAAGAGAGAACGCAGGTCTTTATGCTACCCTATAGCACTCCGATGTGCCTACAACTCAGATTGTTCGGTCAGATAATCTGAAAAGAAAATGACAGCGCGAACAATGAAGTCGACTATTGGCCATTTCCCGCATTGTATCCAGTCAAGCGTAGAGAGATTACTGAACCTCCATCCCGGAAGGCGAACCGTACGAACAACAACTGAACTCTTCGCAGTCTGTCACACTCCAGACTCTTCTACCAAATCCCACGTTTTCCACTTAGCAGTTTGCGCTATTCTGGAGGAAGTACGAAAGGCAACACTCGTGTCGGTAGACGGGTGCGTCGTACATGGCTGAACAGCCGCAGTTGATGGTACTGGATGTTTTGCGCGAATAAAGTACCCGCTGCACAAGCAAACACTTTTTTCTTGTCACCTCATTACAGAGTCGTCGACCCACCTTACACCAGCCACACTTCTGAGACGTCGGTTTGCTTTTTTCAGGGATTTATGGATTGATGCACGAGATCGCGGCTTTCGCTCTAGCTTTATGGGTTGAGTTCATGTAGTTCATCGGCTTCTGTTCACCTCGAAGGCACAAGCGTGTAGCACCGCTTTTTAAGTCCTCAGTGTTGGGCGATAAGCTTGCTTTTGGGCGGAGTCACATAAAAAGGCACCTAAAAATAACTAAACTGGGTCCTTAATTCAGTGTGGACAACAGTAGGAAAAAGGTTATTTCAAACATCAAATATCCGGCATGAGTAAAATTGTCGCCCCATAGAAGTGCTTTCTGTATTGTTGAAAATCTTATTAAGAAGTTCCCACCAGTAAAAATCTACCGGCTTTACCTTGTTCAAACAAGTTGTATGCAAGTATCAGGCCCACTGGGAGGTAGCGGTAAAATAAGAGAAAGGGATCAAGGATTTCCAGACGCTTTCCATGACCAGCGGATTTGAGGCCGGT